GGGGAATTCTGGGAGTTGAAGTCCACCCATCTGAAAGTTGCCAAGGTTGAGAAACACTGCCCTAAAGGATGCATTTTGGGTTATGCTCTTTCTATTGCTCACACTTTCTGCATGATCCGTCTGCCAAGAAATAGGCTTTTCTGTGCACTTTCGCTTAATAGACAGAGCTTTACATCTCCTTTTGAGCAGCAGACAATACCTGCCAGTTCTGGAAAGGGGCGCTTGCACCCGGCTTCTGCATTCCAGACCCTCTGTGGGGTGGAAAGAGGAGATTGGCATCAAAATTCAGGTGCCCCAATCTTCTCATCCATCCCTAACTGGACCTTTAGCAGCCCGATCCACCTGTTTCCTCTTCCTCTGCTGACGTGCGGTGGGTCACCGTGGGGCGGGGGCCTGACCTTTCCAGCATTCAGCTTTTTGTTATCTGGAGTATCGGAGCCCTGCTGCCGAACAATGGCTCTGAAATCAATGGAGACCATTTCTCTTTGGAATCAGGCCCTCTTACATGTCACGAGAACTGATGCTAAGTTTCTTACTTGCATTCCTTCCCATTGATCCTTGCAAGGGGTTTAAAACCTAAGAACCTTCTCAGTTGCCCTGGCGTGTCTCCCCTTGCCCCCCGCCCCCCCAAAATGACTGAGTTGGCTTTTGCAAAATGCTGGCTGCAGGAGGATGGACATCTTCCACTGGATTCCCTTCTTCTTGTTTTGAGAGGCAAAATGAGCCTGGAACGGGAGCCCCCCAGAGATCCATGTCACCCCCACCCTGATGTTGTTCCAGAAGTCTCTACAAACCTGGCTCTTCTCCCACGCCTTGGGGTAGGGTACCGGTAGGGCCCCTGATGACTGCATTTTACAAAGTGTGGTTTGGTCTGGATGTGTAGAATTTTCTTTTCTTATTGTTGCTATTTTTTTACACGCAAGCCACCCAGAGTCGTTCCAGGGTTGGGCGGCCACTAAATTTAACCGATATATCAATCGATCACTTGCATTAAAGAAATCCAGCTTTTTCCTGCTGCAAGGTGAATTTGGCAAGAATTGCCCAATTCTGGGAATCTTTTTCGTAGTCCAATGCTCTACATAGATGACGTGTTTAGAGCTGCTTTAAAAAGGATGCTATTGCTTGTGTTTCACGCACACGTGCTGTGCTTGCAGAAATATGGTTTTTCTCTTGGGCTTTCCCTGTAGAATTGTCCCGAATGGTACAAAACAGTGCTGAAAGTGTGCAAAGTGCGAGGGGCAAGTAGTGGAAAAGTTGGGTTCTTGATCGCCTGGAGTTTGCATCTCTCGGTTGCCTCAAAGGAGATGGGCGTGAAGGATTAGAAGACGGATGATACGACAGAACGGATTGTGCCACGTGAACGGTGTTACGCATGTGATGTTCAAACATGTTCTCTTTTTTTGAAGAACACACCTCCATGCCATTCCTTAAATAGAAGCCTCCCAGGCAGGGGAGGAAAAATCTAGCCCAGCCCTGTACCTGCTAGATTTCTATCTGCGAGGGAATTTTATTCTGCTCCGCTTTCCATAGATAAAAGCTATTTTTGAGCAAACTGTTTTTTTTTTCCCCCTCTGTGGTTTGAACCTGA